ACTAGAAATAGCCAGGAAACGGATAAATGATTAGAAATCAAGAAATCAGTTTGTTCCAAGTTGTAAATAATATAAACTTATTTCTGATGATTTCCAGTGATTTCTGGTGATTTCTCATGATTTCTAGTGATTTCTCATGATTTCTTTGATTTCCAGTGATTTCTTTGATTTCTAGTGATTTCTGATGTTAGAGATCAGTTTGTTCCCCCTTGTATAATGGTTATAAAGCATGTCAAACAAGTTGTGCACAACTTTTAACTTTTTCGAATTCAATAAAATTTCAATCAGCTCAAAAAAAATTCATGAATTAGAATATGATGATCCAATCTATTTAGATTATATTCAATGAGGTGCATGGATTGAAAATGCTAGTAAGATAATCATAGAAATTTATTGATCGATATATGTGCAGGATAGTTCATAAGTAGCTTTGTGATAAAAATATTTGAATATCTCCTATCATAGTATGAATTTAAAATTTCAAAGTATAGTTTTTTTTGAAACTTCTATAAAAACGAACATCAAGATGTGGGTGATGAAATAAACTACACCCACATTCTCGACAAAATATTCCCATGTTATACCATTGATTTAATAAGAGTTAGTCTTGAATTGGATTGATGATTTGAAGTCAACTTGAAGTGTGAATTAGACCATACTAAAATCCGAAATTGACCTACAACAACATATATGTGTATATATAGAATGGTCAAAAGATGATTTATGTGATAGTACAAGTACAACAATTGAAGATCTTCAATTAAATTGTATAATATTAACAATACGTTCAAATAATCAATCTTGATGTCTGAAACGAGTATCATGTAGAAAAAAACATCCATTTATATGTCAAAGTTAACATGAAAAATTGTTCAATATAAATATTATTTGTTTATCTAGAGAAGGCAATGACTGAAAAAGAATTAGTTGAAAATACTATGGAAAGATTGAAATTTTTGAAATGTATTATAATAATATGGTGTCTTATTGATCATAAAAAACAAAAAGATAAAGAAAAGAAAAGAAGCTCTTGAAGCTGTCCTTGCATTAAATCAAGCTTTAAAATTACAGATATATGTAAATCAATGTAAATCTAGATTTTATTAAATAAATTTTCAATAGTTTCTTGTTTTATAGTTGATTTTGAGTTACCCGAAGAGTTACAATTAAATGGTGAGTTGTTGATTGCAAAAATCATAAACTAAATTAGGATTAGTATATATATATATATATAAATTGAGAAAGTAATTATTATATTTTATGTACATAGCTGATGAAGAAACTTCGATGCTGCCAATTGTAGACAAATTTACAATATTAGGTAGAAGAATTCATCATGTTTATGTTGATATTAATATCAATTGATACAGGTTTTGGAATACAAGATTGGATGATCTTAATTGCTGGATGATTTATTACTTTATTAATGATATGTATCTGTTGCACAGGACTTATTTTTATCTATCAATTCTTAAAAAAACGAAGATTACGACAATATCCGACATATCGCGATGGTAGTATGGATTCAACATATTCTACTATATCGAGATGAATAGACAACTTACAACAATCTTTAATTATTGATTTGATTATTTTATTAATAATAAAATAAAATACACCCATCTAAACCTATGTTCAGAACAGTGTTCAACACGGGTACAGTTTTTTGTACCATCTAGTAGATACAACAAAAACAAAGATAGCATCTTAAGGATCTGACTTTGGAAATGGGTCTATCGGTATTTTTTTCAACTACACACATTCCTACACTATTGACTATTGGGTTTTTATATAATCAATGAGCAGAACGATCAAATAAATACAACTACTAAAACACTCAATAGACCATGAAAATAAAAGAATTTAATTGTAAATTATTGGAGATTGGTCGATATGAATTAAAATGGAAACAATCTGATAATGACGGTAATTCACTGTTAATTGGTTATTGTTTGAGAAAGAACTCATAACAAGATAAAACTATTAAACCAATACTTATTCAGATTCCATTAGGTAACATATTACAATATGTTTGATATGCACCATCCATTAAACAAAGTCATTTTATCTGCGAAATCCGACAAAGTATTTCTGAAAAAAATGTGATTGTATGTTTTCTAGACTCACAAGTTGTCTTTTTTAAGCGTCTTCACGTACCTTTGATGATGAAAGTGGTTAGTTTTAGTGTTTTCTGAGTGGACATGAAAACACTTAAATAGCAACTGCAATTAGAGTATCTAAACGTATTTTGAGAAAATTCTTATCGGCTAAAAAAAATAATGTTTAAGAAAATCAAAACTCAATAAATTGATGAAAATCTTCTTTTATAACTCGAGTTTTGAAACTAAATTTAGCGTTTCAATGTTGATCTACATATAAAAACTAACGTAACTTATCTATTTTTGAAAATTTCCGACATCTTATTCTCTCCCAAAAAAAACTTCACAATAATTTAACTTAATTCATATATTTTTGATTAAGAACGAAATTCTAAAATTCATTTTCGAGGTGGTCCATCTACACCAGAAGTTACATTTATTGATGCAATATTCTCAACCACATGTCATATACAATGGATCAAAAGTAACAAAATCATTACAGTAGATACAAATCAAATTAAAATTAAAAATCTCATCAAGAATTATCATTGCTAAAAATTCATTTGATATAGAAACGTGATTGATTATGAATGATTTGATTTAAATACCTGAAAAAATCTATTTTAATGTATTATTCCGTTGAGTTTTATCAAAATATGGTGTTTAATCGAATTTTTATGATTTGTTATTGAAAACCAATTTTAATCTGATTTTTTTTAACCGTTTTTTTTTCATGGAGTTTTGCTATTGTTCTTTTGCATCATGCATATTGGATGGAATCATTAATAGATAATGTCTTATTTATAGCATACTCTTAGAATTTTTAGTCAGAGATTAATGATACACAGCAACTGAAAAATACATAGGCAGAAATTATTCCTAGATTCGTATTTGTTATCGGCTTCGGAAACGACAATCGTACTTAGTCATCATTTCTGGGTCCCGGAAATGCCCGGAACTACTTTTAGGTGATGAATCTATTATAAATTATACACAAAATTTTGATTGTAGTGAATCGTGAATAGAATGTGGAACATGTTCCGTAAACATATGATATATCTTATCGTGTAGTACTAAAAATGATTGTTTGATAAGTTCGTTGATTTACTTCATCTATTGTAGATGTTGTTTGACCATTATCAAGAGAAAATACAATTTGAGGTGAAAAATAGGATTCTGTAGATTTCTGCCAAATAATTCAATTCAAAAGATAATATTAAATCCAAGAATTTTTCATCATCTGAGATAAATCATTCAATAAATATTATATGAAAATTTATCAGAATATGTTTTCATTTGGCACACAAAAACTAATATGTCATAAAATGATGACTTGATAAAATATTTTTGTAATATTTTTTCATTCTTATGTTTCTCGATAAGCTTTTTTTCATTCATATTATCATGTCACCTGCATTAGCTTCTCACAAATAATATCACTCTTGTTCTATTGTGAAAGAAAACAAAGTAGTTTCGTGTTTTCTTTTTAAATAGTTGAACAAAATGACGCAGTTACAATAAAAATAATCACTAATCGAGAAAGTACAATAAAAGGAATTTTTCAAAATCGAATCAGTGGAGTTGAAATCAAAAGTTTGTACACTAAATTAAAAGCTATGAAATACTACAAAGACACTCTGACATGGACTTTAAACATTTCAGTATCCATAAAGTGAACCATAATGATGAAAATATACTACATATTTCGTCTAAGAAGCTATATCAAAGTTCTAAAAATCACGCAGAATTATTCAAATATTCGCTTTTTCGATTGTTTTGATAAATGCAGAAACCATCAGTTTTATTTTCTTTTACAATTACAATATTCTTCTAATAAGCACTTTATTTTGATGATATTTTATAAATATTTACCATAAAAAGAAAATAAACTTATTCAATAATAATAGGATAAAGATCCGGTATAACAAAATCAAAACCTCCACCATAAAAAGTCGGAATAAGTTTTGTTTTGAGACCATTTTTAACACGAGTTATTGTTAATGTTTGTCTTTCGGTAAAGTTTTCACTATTAAAATAAAGTTGTTTAGGTGTCCATGTAAAACAATCGTTACATTCTATTGCTTGCCATTGAATACGAACAGTATCATTTCCATTAATTCGATGTGGCGGAGTTCTAAGCCAAACTTGAACTTCTGTACTTTGATTTAAATTTATTTTTGATGTTTGTGGATAATATAAAAGTCCAAGCATAACATCTCGACAAGCGATAGACCAATTTTTTGGTATTGAATCAAATAATTTATCATCTGGTTTTCCTACTGATATAACTTTATAATATGTTGTGAATTGTCTAACATTCCATCCTTTACGTCCAACGCTAGTGAATCGAAGAGGAATTTGAGTATTTTTTTCAAAATATATTTCTTCACATGGATAACTGTCTCCACTCTCAGTTCGACATGTTACATTTGAATACCAATAATCTTCATTTACAGAAGAATCGTTTGAATGGATCATGTCATAATTAAATTTCATGTAATTTTTTATTTCATATGAACTTCCATTAAGCCAATATGAAGGAAATGAATTATATATATTTCCACCATATTTTCAATATGTTCCATACAAGCAACTGAGAGGTGGAAAATTTGCTAATAATTGAACATAATATTTTGATTGAGGAGAATCAGGAATTGCGTATGGAAAGTGCTTCATAACAACTGCGATGTCACTTGCATAAGAACTTAAAGTGACTTTTTGATAAGCTCGTTGATTTATTTCATCAATTGCAATTGTGGTTAAACCATTATTAGGAGAAAATACAATTTGAGGTGGAAGATAGGGTTGCGTACAATCACCTGTATAATACCACAAGATAAATGATGTCAAATACAAATACATTTTCATCATTTTACTATTCTAAAATAATAAACTTAATGCAAATTTATCAGAATATAACACAAAAAAAAGAAATAACTCGTCATGAAACTATGATTAAGCAAAATATAGTGTTACAATCATTTTTCATTCTTATGATTGTCTATAAACTATTATCACACATAGTAACATACCATCTGTGTCAGTCTTATCACAAATAATATTAACTCCGTTCTTTTTTTTTTGTTCTCGAAAGAAAATAATCTTTTCTTTTTTGAATGCTTGAGAAAAGAACGAAGTTACAATAAGATATTCATCAATCAACAAAATGTAATGAAAGAAATTTTAAAAGATTCAACTTTGTTGAAAATAAATTATGCTTTTCAGTTTGTTTAGNTATGATTAGGCAAAATACAGTGTTACAATCATTTTTCATTCTTATGATTGTCAATAAACTATTATCACACATAGTAACATGCCATCTGTGTCAGTCTTATCGCAAATAATATTAACTCTGTTCTTTTTTTTTCTTTTCTCGAAAGAAAATAATCTTTTCTTTTTTGAATGCTTGAGAAAAGAACGAAGTTACAATAAAATATTCATCAATCAACAAAATGTAATGAAAGAAATTTTAAAAGATTCAACTTTGTTGAAAATAAATTACGCTTTTCGGGTATGCATCAATCTCAAAGATGATCAATAATTATCTCTATTTAGGATTCTAAACAAACTGAAAAGTAAGTTTGCAGAGATAAAATCTCTTTTTCAATTATTTAAAATTGACAACTAAAACACTTTACATATTATATATATACTCATGACTAAAGCACTATCGAGACCACGCATAATATTTTTACTAGCTGATAGTTCAGTCTGACACAACAATATTTCTGAGTGATTCATTTCAAAATCAGATTTAATCACATCTTTAGACTTTCGATAACAATGTCAACTTTATCTCTCTCTCTCAAGAATAAAATAATACGGTTACATTATACTGATACTCTCATGTCATTCCAAATATTTGATAAATAATCATGATAGAGAGAATTAGACAAAAAAGTAGAAAAAACTAATCATATTCAATATAGATGATATTACAAATACATGCTTCCAATATTCCATTCCTATGCAATAAAATAAAACAATGAAAAACAATGCCTGAATTTGGTATTGCGTTCATAATTCTACTACTTTTCGGCCGATATCTGTCGAAAAGTCACTGACATTGGGTACCGCAATCATTGGCCTAGATATGTATACATGTTCTCTCTGATTTAGATATTTTCTAAAATATGGAAAATGAAAAGGGAGAGCTGTATTGAATATGAACGAGATGCAGTATTATCAGAACATGATCAAAAACCTTCACCATGTAAATATCGAGTAAAAGCTCTTTCAGGTCGATCTATAACACGAGTTATTGTTAATATTGGTCTTTTTTGAAGATTTTCATCGTTAAAAATTAATTCTTTTGATGATACTATAAAACTATCTTGATATGCACATAGATTCTATGGAATACGAACAGTATCGTTTTCATCAATTTAATGTAGACCAAGTATACGATTTAAACAAGTGACGGACCCATTTTTTGATACGGAAGCAAAAAATTTATAATCTGGTTCTCCAATTGATATTTTTCTTTCTTGTTCAACATCTCCTTCTCCACGAACAACTTGGATTGATCGAAGAGATATTTCAGTATTTCCTTCAAAAAAAATTTTTCATTTGGATATTTGTCTTCAATATTAACTTCATATATTTCATTCCCATACCAATAATCGTTATTATCTGAAGTATTAGTTGAATTTATCTTTTAATTCAAATGAACTTTCATTAAGCCAATGTGATGGAAAGATATTTAAATACAATACATCATACTTCGAATACGTTTTATATGAACATGAATTGGATAGAGAATTTTCTTGTAATAAGATTTTCATTATTTAAAATTTCTAAAAATCGGCACAAAACATTTCTTTGTTGGGAAGAAAAGCAATGTAGATAAAAGATTTTTGAATTGATTTTTCGATTATCCAAATGAATAATATTAAACAGACTTGATAATATATGTAAACATATCTTTTCCGAATAATCTAACTATTCGATTTCTCATTGAGTTTTCTAATAATGGATAAAAAATAAATCGTCATGGAATTATCAGATAATGACAAAAAAAAACACAACAGCACTGTAATAGTTTTTTCATTCTTATCTTTTCGGATGAATTTTACAACACATATCATTTTGTACAGAATGAAAAGACCAAACAAAGTAGTTTGAACAAAGCAATTTTTTAAAAGAGGTATTGCTAAAATACTGAGAGGTTCATTTGTCCTGAAACATTTGATAAATATCCAAAATGAAGAGAAAGATGTTAATTGAATATATATTGAATAGCTTTGTGGTGTAACAAAATTGAAACCTCCACCATAAAAAAATTGTAATAAATATTGTCTATTCTGTAATTGTAACGCGAGTTATTGTTAATATTTGTCTTTATTGAAAATTTTTACTTTTAAAAATTAATTTTTTTAGTGATAATGTAAAACAATTCGAACATTCAATTAATTTCCATTGAATGATGACGGTATCATTTTCATTGAGGGTGTGAGTGGCTGGCTGATTGTGGATACATTAGTAGCAGATACGCACCCACAGCCATGCGGCACACCCACCCACGCCCATACTCACACCCTTTTTACTGCATCTTAATAGAATTTTATCGGAAAAATACTTTTTGTTTCATTCTTTCTGATTACTTTTTGTACACTCCTCTAGCACATGTTCTATCGTTGCTATGTATAGTCCTTCTCAATGGAGCGCATATTTGATAAGAGTTGAAAGAAAAAAGCCAAAAAAACGAATCCAAAGCAAACAAAAACAAGAACGTAAAGCATTGCCATACTATAACAGTAAGAAACGAATCATTTCAATAAAAGCAAACAAGCCGTCTACCACGCAACGAATATTTTAAGAAACAATTATAACAACATAGTAGTGAATTTATTTACAACATTTTCGCTTCAACTACGTGACTTTGGTGAGCAAAATGAGTAGAAAAAAATTAAAGACCAAAAGAAACTATTGCGAATGTTATATATTAGCACTAAGACATACCAAACAATCTACTTCATTGTTTCTTCCATATTATTCACCAGTTTTAGTTATCAAAGAGACAGAGAACGAACATCCAAGCATGATGTAAATGCAAATTTAATACGACCACACAGAAAGAGAAAATGAAAACAATAGTAAGATTTTAGTGTGAATAAGAATAATGGAGAAAAAGTTTTTCATCGCAAAATTAATCTACAGAGATGAAAATCAGAGAGCGATGTGCAGAAGTGAGGATAGATAGCGTCACTTCAATCAATTATTTCAAGTAGTTACCAGAGCAAACTTCAACACTCAAAGTAATGTGACACATGAAAAACCAGCCAATTCGTATCACAAGACAATATGTCAAAATGTTAGCGGTAGAACTTCCACCCGAATAGTCATGAGAGAAGCAAAGACTGAAAAACTTTGAGTTACGTGATTGTGCTTCGAAATCAGTGAGCGAAATGTTGACCTTTTTACCAGTTTCCTCACGACCACAGAGAAACAAGCACAAATACCTATGAGACAAATTCGGACACTAGCGCAATTCGTCAGCTTGAACGCTAAACGTTTGAAGTACGATGCGCAACACTGTGAATCATGGCGAAAAACTGCTGTTCTTGCAAACACGAGTGATAGTAGTGACACAAAAGCTACAATCTCTCATTTGTTTAAAAGGTTGTCAGTGACGTAGCAATCCGTAAAGCGGTATCATAAATATGCTCGGTTCATTGATGCATGTGTTTAAATGAGGGCGAACAGTGTTCGACACCACAAAAGTATATGCCATAAGCAGAGGCGACGAAGCTATGGGGACTGATTTAACAGGGTGTGGGTGTGGTTGTGGGTGTGGGTGTGGGTGTGTGAGTGTGCGTGTGGGTATGTGGGTGTGGGTGTGGGGTATGGTTGTGGATGTGGGTGTGGGGGTGTGTGGGTGTGGGTGTGGGTGTGGGGTGTGGGTGTGAGTGTGAGTGTGAGTGTGAGTGTGGGTGTGGGTGCAGTGTATCTTCCTTTCATATACGTTGATAAACACATCTACACCTACACCCCTACACCCACACCCATAAAATAACAGGAATCCAAGAAAAATTTAAAAAAATATCTTTCTACTTTTGAACTCAGAGTATTATAATGCGCTAAAAATTTGGATCTAAGAATAAAAGTAAACGTGAACATTAGCATTACATACATCCAATCTTTAATGCAAAATGGTATATATATTTAATATGTTGAAGTGTGAACTCTTTACGTATAATAATCTCAATCTGAATAGAATATGCGCACGATTTATTTAACCTGGTGAAATCTTTTTTTTCTATTCTACGATAACAAAACCATGAGACACGATAACAATAGACGTTTTTCTTTTCTGTTTTCATTTTCTTTAGCGACTCACCATTAAAAAAAAGTGCTATGTTATTAAAAAAGAATCCGCGAAAATGCCGAATAAGCATGTAGGGTGTTGGCGTGGATGAAAAAACGGGCCACACCCACGCCTATACATTCACTGACACATACACACTGATATCTCACATTGCACACTCGCATACATTTATAGATCGATTTGCGAAGCACCCTTGTCCATTGATAGGTAATTTGAATGGTAATGTTTCTATTCTAAATTTGCTTAATCATATTTCAACTTGAATAGCCCCTCGAGATTTGATGAGAGTGTCAATTGTTAAGAACGTTTTTATCCGTCAACAACTTGAGCATGACTAGTCACTATGTCGTCGAGGGTGTGGGTGTGGGCTACTCTCTTATTCTAGCACATATACCCATACCATTTCCTTTTTGTCTTCATCATGATCGCATCGTCATCGTCCAATATCGAAGAGAGTAAGTAATTATTTTCTTTGTCTTTTGAGATGAGCGGTTAGAATGAGTTTCAGACAGAGTGAGACGTGTGGAGAGGTGAGTCATGTCCATTGAGAATAGGCCCCTGTTGTCTATCAGCCCTTCCGAGTAGGTCTTAAATCTCGGCCATGAGCCATCTTGGTGTCCGTGGCACACGACCAAGCCCCGCAAACTCATTGATACATTCTTCGTTGGAGTCGTGTGGATGACGTGAGTCTGTTTCGTGCTTGCATGAGCTTTATGTTCGCCACGGCTCCATCAGTATGGTACCTGATCGAGTGCGCGAATAGAATTAATCATCAACTGTTTTGTTTCCATTCTATGGTATTTATTTGAGAGCGAGAGAAAAGAGAACGAACAAACAAAAATTAATCAACGTTTTAAGTTTATTCGAGAGAGTATCGTTGAACACGATGATACCCATATTCGACGACGTAGAGATTGCCTTGTCGATCGAATGATAAACCAATGGGAGCATATACTTGTTTGGACTGTGCTCCTCCTTCATTTTTACTAACAATGACAGTTCCCTGTGTGATTCTTTTTGGCCAACGCATAATTCGATTATTCCACAAATCAGCTACATAGACAGTACCCGATGGATCGACAACGATTCCGTTAGGACGTGTCAATTGTGTAAGACTATTTCCTGTTCCTTGACCACCGGCTACGACAATGCCTTGTTTTTGCACCTTCCTCCCATTTCATCACACGATAATTTGATCCATCAGCTACTTACACTGAATGATCTCGATCGACAAATACGAACCAAGGGCTTGCGAGTTGATCGGTACGATTTCCTCTTCCATTACCACCTGCAACCACTGTTCATTCAATGTCACCAATTCCATATCATCTCACTTCATGTTTTCCATGGCTCACGACATAGAGCGACCCATTCTCGTCCATTGTCAAACCAATACAATCGATGTTTGAAATAATTATCTCTCCACTAGTACTATTTTGGCGAGGTCATCGAACTACTCTTTGATTTCCTTGATCGGAGATGATGAGACTATCTCGCTCTTTGTCGACAATCACATCGTTCGGGTGGTTTAATTGATGAGTTCCATTTCCTTTTCCATTTCCACCGGCAACTACCTTGCCCCTCGTCGCACCACGTTTCCATTCAACGATACGATTATTAAAAAACGCAGCGACATACACCGTCTGATCATCATCGACATACAAACCACGTGGCCCTCCGAGCTGATTGCTTTCATTGCCTCTTCCATTTCCTCCAGCAACGGTGACACCATTCTTGGACCATGTTACATTCGGATGAATATCGACTGAAGGTGCACGTAGTGGTGGTGCTGGGATGAAACAAAAATGCGAAGTATAAATAAACATGGGTAATATTGAAATGAGTCACGTGTTTGTTTTGGAAAGTATTTGTAAAGGTGATCGCTCATTTTCTCGAGAGTGAACAATCATTTGCATAATTACTGTCAATTTCAAAAAATATTTACTAGTAAAATTTGTTGTCTCCATGCTGAAAATGAAGATTAGTTTTTTCTTCGATATCACGCATAGTCAGCAGTGTCACATATCCCAAAATTTGGAGAAGTGCTTACATCTCTCTCGGGAGATGCTACATTTTCAACGGGAGATGCAGCATGTCGTGTGGGGAATGCGCATCTCTAAAGGAGATAATACATCTTCAATGTCAAATCACCGCATCTCCCATGGAAGAAGTGAGCACTTCTCCAAAATACGGGATATGTGACACAACTCCTGGAAGCACAACTATCATTGCTATATTCTCATACAAGAAAATGAGAAATAGATTCACTGATAACTATTTATCAATAAAATAACAATATGAATCTATTTTTATTATCCAAGAAGGGTCTAAATGGAGGCACACAAGTGCAACGCTCATCGGCCCACATTTCATTTTAGACACTATTAGATCTCTGAGATAAATCAGAGTATTCTTAGTAAAATATTCCTTCACTTTATTAATTTCATATAGTGGTCCTGTATTTGCGCAAGCTCTCAAAAATATAGTCGAGCAAGTTTATATATAGGCTTTCGCATATCTTAAATTGTGTGATAAAAGAAAAATAGCTAGAATGTTTCCTTGAGGCCAACAATCAGCCCTCACTCTTCGTTTTGTCCTATAGTGAGCATCGAAAGCCCTGCATCAGTTATTTGCTTTGGGTCATATTTTAAAACTATATAGCATTAATTTCATTTGACTAGATGCCTGCATAGTAGAAGTTGAGAACTGCATATATGCACCTATTTTATTCCGGAAACTATAGAATATAAAATAAAGACAAAAACAAACTCTAGTACTAAGGCAAAAATAACAAGAAGAAAACGACAAAATTCTATTGTTGTTATAAAGAGTTGTATTTGAGGCAACGTAATTTTCTTATTACAAGGAAAATCGATAAAACCTATGCGCAGAGATAACTCATTAGCGTGACATAAGAACTGTCAAGTTAGAAAATTAGGAGAAGATGTAGTACCACTATTAGTAAAGTGTTTAATACCTAGGTAAACATTTGGTAGCGTCACTAACTATTTACTCCAGTCTCGCGTCGTGGGGACGAGCAGCGACCTCCTCCACAGAGCCGCAACCGCAGCTTGTCGCTATGTACACAGCGATATCTATCTTTAGTTTTTATTTGAGTTCAAGATGCGAAATAACTAATGCATCTGCTTTCCAGCTGATGACTGTAGCAGTTCAAGTGATGTATCTAGCATTCCAGGTTATGCTTCTAGCAAATCAGCTTGAGGTAAGTCCTATCTCATTTATATTCGAAGTCGAATCGAACAGTCACTCATAAAAAGCCTGTCGATAGAACTTTGCTTTTATAAGAGTATGTCAAAAATTGATCGACACTTGTGAATACAAGGGAAGTCGAAAGAAAAGAATTAATGTGTCCTTATTTAGATCTCACCATATGACGCGTTCTGCAAAATCCAGGCGCATCAATCGATCAATAATGCTTCAATGCGCTTCAATCTCTGATGCACATGCGAAATAATCGATATAATCCATGAGAAGAGACGAAATCTTTTCTTCAATGATTTTAATTCATTCTGTCCCTGCCACGCTTTAACTTAATTTTTCAAAAACCTCTCCCCGTCACCACCTTTCTCACGTCAGCATTAATTTAATACAGACAGGTGTGTGAAAAGTGAAGAAATACCTTTATGGAAGATTTAAGTTCAGCCTAAATGTGCAGATCACTGTTTTTTCTCTTACTTGGCATCGGCGGACAAATTGCTCGATTAGTTATCGATGTCGGATGACAAATAGGATGATTTTGACATCGAGGATGATGAACTCAAGTATGCTCAGGTTCACGACAAAAGTTATTTGAAGTGTCACACTTATTTAGGTCTGAAGAATTGGCATATTGCAAGGCACAAAAGCCAGCGTCAGCAGTATCAACCATATGAAAACAGGCACACTCAGGATTCGACGAACACCGATCATATTTAGATACCACACGACATATGTTAGAATTAACTCGAACAACCGATATACTACATGAAAAGCAATATATCACAAATGAAAGAAGAATCGAGCCTGGGAAACTTCAAAAGAAGATTGTTCAGTGCTATAAGAATAGAAAGAAACGATATTTTGCTACTACCTGAGTAAAATGAATAGAAAATAAGTCACTACTGTTAAGGCCATCGCTTGCGTTAAATGAGAAAAAATACAGGCGGTATTTCTTTTTATATTTGATGATTACCAGATGTTTTTTGCACACGCTGAAATTTAAGATGCACATAGGATAATCTTTCCATTAATCAAAATTCGATATTACTTTGATCCCCACTCAGATACTTAATTTTTTCTGAAAACGTTATCTTTATCGACTTAAAAAACACCAAAAAGCCAATGTGTCATTGCTTTTGAAATGCAAAAAGTCAAAAGCCTTCTGCCAACACTACGAAACGGGTGTTACTATTCTGGTTTTCGTTGAGGTATGAAGTATGCGACCTGAATGTGGGTGTAGCTGCAGGTGTCTGCTCGTGTCCATACAAGTGTGGCTATTATGTGGATATTTTTGAGGAGACGATACACACCCACACACCACTCTCACATCAACATCTGCATCCTGCCAAACTCATCCTTATTCTTATCCTCACATCCACGTTGACACCCACACACCCGCTCCCACACCCATGTTGACACCCACACACCCGCTCCCACACCCACACCCCCACACCCACACCCACCCACACCCACGTCCACACCCACACCACCCACACCACCCACACCACCCACACCACCCACACCACCCACACCCACACCCACACCCTAGGGGACCACTAGTCTAGCATAACAGCCAAAAAGTTGTTGCTCTTGTTTAGATTTGACCAAGATAGCGACTTTTTGGTGGATTCAAGTTATAGGAGCCTAATTTTCGCAGAAAAATCGTATTTTAAAAGTTTTGACCTGAAGTTTTGTACGCAAGAGGGTCTGAAAGAGACCATCTTATATAGAAAGTTTCAATAGTTTTGCATATTGCATTGCCAAGATATGAGTTTCTCAGAATATTAGTGTCTCACAGAGCCCTTGAAGAAAAGCATATATATTTTATGAAGCGGATATCTTGACAATGCGGGTGTGGATGTGTGGGTGTGGGATGTGGGTGTAGGTGTGGGTGTAGGTGGGTGTGGGTGTAGGTGTGGGTGTAGATGTGCGAATTCTCCCCTCATCTACTGATATTCACACCACGTCCATCATCTCAATAAATAACACGAAATGCGTCGGCAAAAATTAAGTCTGCAGTTTTTTAAAATTGATTCTAATTGAAGCACATCTATTAAATATTTCATATGCGACAGAAAATCAGTTGCTGAAAAGTAAAAGTTGAGACTAGTAGATTGATTTGTATTCTAGAAATATAAGGCAATCTGTTTCATATTGATTTATTTTGGGATTTCATTCTACTCTTTTTTTCTCAAAAAGAACTGTTTGAACTTAGTATTCTGTATGTGATTTAACACTTTTCTATGGTTTTTGAATCATTTGTACGAATACTGGCCACTTGATAAGATTTTTCTGTAAAATCAAAATACTATTTAACTGAGATCGTGGTTACTATAGCACACCCGACACCATACACCCACATCCTGTTTGATCGTTTCAAGTGATAATGAATTCTGAGCAAAATGATAAGATCAAACTCTTTCAGAAATGAATAAAATAAAACAATATTCATGCTTACACGTATACTTATCCTATTAATACAGATATCATTTGAACTTGAAAAATGATTCAGTTAGTTCACTCAATCTAAGTTTCAAGAACGATGGTGCACATTATTGATCGGTATCTGTATGGTAAAAATGCTAATTTCAAAAAATAATCAATAACATCATAGCAGATAAATAGACAGTGTGAACATGAAAGAGATGTAATCAGTAAGACATGGTTATTTCATCTGAGTAATATTGAAGAAAGTGTATGTTTGATAATTGCATTCGAACGAATGGTGAAACGTTTTCGAGTTGAAGTAAAATATTTAACTGAACTATCTGTGAAAATGAGGTACAATGTCAGGATAATAATAGCTTATTCGTATGAAAATTTATTTTTACTTAAAATATCATATACATAGTCGAACAATAGACCTTGGTGACCCTCTTGATCAACTCATAATCATTGACAGTTTCTTACAAATAATCTTCGGTCATATATCAGTCATTTACAGATAAACGAGAAGAAAAGAACAACAAGAAAAACTTTAAAGAAAAAAAATGAAACTATATATCCATAAATTCTTTTTTTATATTGCGCAAGTTCTTTTCACTCCAATCTAAACAATGCATTCGACAAAGAGTCTTATTACAATGCTTATAAATATATCTATGAATTTTATACTTGTCTTTTAATTATCATATATTTATTTTCTTAACAACGGTCGAATACTAAGAAATTGTAAGATGTGCTTGTAGTAGTGTTTTGCCATAGTACTTATTATCATTAGTTTTATTATCAGAAATGAAATTATGAGATATAGAAACTTGTATTCTTAGTGCTGTATTCAAGCTTATTTTATCCATAGCCAAAATAGCTAACAACGATTTTACTTTTTTGTGAAATAGAAATTCTTCTATGATGATCGATTATAGACCATGGTTGGAATAAGAAAACAATAAATAGTCAAGATATAATTTGACTTGACTAGTGCTTGAACGAAAGAAAAATCGTTGACTAAAGTCAACTTATGTAACTTTCAATTACATATGATGCAATTCTTCTATGCTATCTCGTTTTATTATTAGTTTATCGTGTGCAATAATTTGAAATCCTTCTTTTATGTTGTCATTTCAAGGTGTAATAGTGATCTTAATGTTCATTGCAAACTCGTCAGATCGAAACATTTTTTAATCAATATTTAGCGGATTGCAAGCGTATCATGTTGCCAAATTTCAAACATTTCGACACGATAGATCATTGTAATACTTACGGTTTACTTGAATTAAACTCAATGGTGAGTTTAAAACGAAACAATGTCTTTCCTTTTATTTAGTTAAAATAATCATGCAAACCAATACGGATAGCACAAAGAATATAATTTTCTACTGATTTTGCACTAATGATTTGAGTGCATGCATGTGGACAATTATTAGCATAAATAAGAAGTAATAACAGAGAATTGAAATATATAATATATAATAATAATAGAACTCAAATGAAGCAAAAGAACTAGAAAAATGATTTTCTATGTAATTAATCAATGCTATTTGATCTTTGTTATAATACCTTGCTCAACATGTAGGATTTGATCAAAATTGAGTAATTGTGCCCGTTCAGTATGTAATGTGAGAATAAGAATACCTTTTGATCGATACCATTTCATAATATTATCAATAATACTCACGGTTGTTTCAGCAGGCAAACCTTGATCAGGTTCATCAAGAATAAGTAGAGAAGCATGACGTTGATAAGCACGATACAATGCTCGTGCCAGTAATAATCGTGTTTTTTGTCCACCGCTTAGTTTATTTTCCATTTCTTCATCAAGATTACTATCGAGTTCGTTTCGAACGAAATCATCAATTTCAACGAGACGAAGAAATTCCCATACAAGTGAATCAAGTTCTTGCGTTCTCTTTTCTTTTACATTATCTTCATCAATATCTGTGATCATACTATAAATAGTCGATCGGTAATCCATATGACTATCTTGTAAAACCATGGTTCGACATTTTTCAATTGAATGAAGAGTCATTGATTCTTGTCTATTGTCAATTTTTATTTCAGCTGTATAATCTTTTGCAGATATTGAACCATTTAAAATATCATAGAAAGTTGATTTACCTAGAATAATATTCGCCATCATATCAAAAAACTTTCTTGGAGACAATTATACAACGAGAAAATCTTACCTGCTCCACTCTTTCCCGTAATTAATATAGCTTCTCCCATTTTGAATGTTAATGAACCATGAAGTTGCAAATGAAATGTTTCTCGTTTGCCTTCATACTGAAATGAAAGATCTCGAATTTGTAATTCAGAACTTAAATCTATTTGTTCGGCATTGATTCGTTCATCATACTCTTCGAGTATGGGTTTAATGAGATCATAGTCTTTTATCAATCTTAACCAACGTATATAAGACACTAGCATCGTATGAATTGAATCAGTCAAAGTCGATAAGTAATGATATAATGGAATGATGAATGTAGTAGTTCCATTCAATAGGTAATAGATGACAATATTTATAAATGTACATAACTTTCCAAGTATATCTTCTTGAAATGATAATTTATCGTAAAGATAATCAAGTAAAAACCATTGTTTTTCCATATCAACTTTTAATTCATTTGTAATATTAATAATTTTGTCTTTTTCATGATGAATGACATATTCAAACATGTTTGCATTTGCACGTGAATATTTTGAATATAATTTATCATGTTTTTCAATCATTTTCAATTTAACTTCAAGTAACTCATTACTCTTCTTGTTCAAATAGAGTCGATAGAAATAGAAATATACAATGCCAATTAGTACAGTTGCAATAGGACATATGTAAAATATGGTGATCACAGTCATAATAAACTTCGAAATTTCTCTCAATTGTTCAATAATTTCTTCAATAAGATATTGAACAGACGAAGAAGCTTCTTCGATCTTTCGTCGAATTTCCACTTGATCAGATAATTTAATCTTAATCCAATTGGTACTCAACATTCGTTGATTTAATTTTGTTTGAAAAGATTTTAAAAAATCAAGAACAAAAGTCTTTTTTGCTAGACTTTGTTTGAGTAAACAGTAAGATGTGACATTCTCAAATATGATTAGTAGAATGAGATATTTCAAACCTTGAGTAACATTTATTGTAATGTTGGAGAAAAATGACACATTCAAATAAGTAGTTATTGTCATTGAACTAATACACAATATGAACCATAGAAATAAACTAAATGGCTTTAAAACAATAACTATATCGAAGATTATTTTGTGTAATGCCCATGGAGATGAATTCCAAGAGAAAATCGACCACATTTTCGTCATTGAAGCTATTTTGAGTTTCTCTCAAAAAAAATTGATTCCAATTTAAATATCTAAATTTTCACTAAATAATATTATGAAACAACCGCATGTATTGCGAAACATAAGCACGTGCTTGAAGCGTGATTTCGCGAGAGTAATATTTTTAGTAAAGCAGTGACGCTTATCTCTCAAAATATTTGCCTTGACTCAATATCACAACGCAATAACCTATACGAAGGTGTGATTGAGATTGCTGCCTGTTAACTTCTTCTTTTTCTATTATCTTATTTTCTTATGAATCTCAACATCATACCATAAACTATTAATATTAAAAAACATGCAATAATCTATTTTGGCTTGATCGATACATTGCCTAGATTAATGTTAGAATGAAGTTTTTTCTCTATTTATTCCGTTTTTGGACACCAGAACATGTTGTCAACAGTTGTTAGGATAATTAAATTGTTTTAAACAAGTTTTAATAGAAATTTTGAATAAAAAATAATTGGAACTCTTTTTTTTAATCACGAACCATTTCCTTTAGAATGACACTTCTAAATACAATTTTAAAGTCTTTCAAAAGACTAAGATTCGAGCTTCTAGGCAGTATCTGTTGCAAAATTTTGTTAGATTTCAATAATGTTCAAAGACTAATTTCTATCTCAATAAAGTCATCTTCAATTTACCAGAAATCCACGGATGCTTTCTGACAATTTAAAAGATCTTATGAATAAATAACACGTCTATTCATTTAAAATTGGAAAAGTTGTAAGAATGATAAGCCTCGTAGATGTTTCTAATGTTTGAGAATGAATCTTGAGAGTCTGTCTTTGGTAAAACAAGATGTCTGGGTAAGACTTATTTCGAACAATTTCTATTTCTTCCTAGAAGTTCGAGCTCTCGCAAATTTTTTTTTGAGTTGTGGCTTATGAGAATTTCTTTACTTACTTCATTCTGACTTCAATACCATTGATGCATCAGTCAAGAAGTCATGCTTCATGTATATATTAAAATAATTCGTTTAACTTATCATTCATTATAGTTACACAAAAGTATCATATATTTTCTGAATGATCTCATTGGTTGATAACTTGTAATCAACACACTATCGTTTCGTAATTGTAAAATAACTGTGTGAAATTGACACTCATGTGTGTGCTGTACTAACAGTTGACTAAATGCAAGATAAAACATGACTATTGTATCACCATCATCACTCTCATTCGAAAAAATGTCCTTCAGAGTACACTTTTCAAAAGTTTTATTTATTTAATAGAAATAAAGTTTTTCTAACATATAAATTATCTATCTACATGGTGGAGATAAATTATGAGAAAGTCTTGTTCAATAAAATGGCATATTTGAACATAAACTGAAGTTATGTTTATCATAAGACATATATGTATATACATATATCAGCTAATAATGCAAGAGGATTTGTTTGGTTTTATGCGCTCATCGTTAGATGATATTAATCTGCCCTGATTTGAACCGATAATACTTTCAGAAGTCTTCTCAGGCTGTTTTTTGTTTTCATCAAACGTGCTTTTATGGATACCGTTTATCAACAAGTTGATCTGTTCACTGATGGTCGGTGATTGAATGGTAATTTCTGCTGATTGTCGAGTTTGATTCTGTGCTGGCAGAGTAGATGAGTGTTGGGTCATGATTGAAGACAACATTTCTGATGAAATAGTCTGTGTTTCGGCATCATTTTGAGATTTTCGAGAGTTAATTGTTCTTTGCAATGGATTGATCTTTGTTATTGAGGTAGCAGCACGTGTGGAACTACTAATCTTCCTGCTATTATTGATCAATTGATCTTCTATTGTATTGTGTTTTGAAAATTGATGTGGTGAATGTTCAGGCGCAGTGAAAGATTTCGAAGTAGATTTCGAGAAAGAGTTTTCCAAAGACATTGGCTGTTTTGTAGCTGACTTGTAGCGTTGTAATTCACTACACAATTGTTGCAATGTTATAGTAGTCCAAGACTGTGAAAGTTGATGAATATTCTTTGGTCGGCAACCACATTTTCGAATAATTTTATAATAACTGGTTCTGTTGGATTTTGTCCATGTAATTCGTGTCGTCTTATGGCATATATCACAATAGAAACGTGAGAGACTTTTCAATTTTTTTAGAGTAATATTCTTCATATGATCGTTTATGACGTGCTCTTTCAGATCTGTACGAAGTCTATTGTTACTACTAAAGCAACAAGTTGGACCTCGTTTATCAGATATTTGAACATTTAAACCATTGAGTCCCTTACGACGCATTGCAGGTAATCAAGAAGCGACAAAATCTTGATATTGAGGTGTATTCTTTTCGACTTGATGAATACGCATCGATTTGAGTACATCCCATTCACCTTGTCTTTCCAATTCTTTCACTAATGTTAATCGACGTGTATCTGTACACCATATTTTATTATCGTAAGAAATAATAGCCATGGAAGGCAAGCATGTTGGATCGATAAGACCAAATACGAGAGCTACATAGGTTTCACCTAGAGTCATAACGCCTTGTGAAAATTTAGTATAGATGTATTCTTGTCCGTAATGGACACCGGAATAAGTAAATGATGAAGTCATGTTTTTTTGTTTTTGTTTTTGTTTCAATATTACCTTTTTATTCTTGTCAATATTCCCACAATGGGTATTTCATTATTCACCTGTTGATAAATATATATCATTGATAATAAACTTTATTGATATTTAACTGAGATAAATAAAGATACCTTTTATCTCTATACATACAAGTAATATACTAGTTTACTTTATTTATTTAAAAAGAAAATTATTTAAGAGTATTTAGTGAAGTGGTATCTATGTCTAGTACTTGTTGTATTTGCCAAAATGAAAGTGAAATACGAATGAGTATCTGAGAAAAGTTACTCAATTGACTAGGTCTAAAAATAAATGTGACGGTTAAACTGTTTACTTTTACAACTCTTTTATTGATCTGTTGAATGTCGATAAAGTTCACACTCTCTTGGATTACCTAATATGACGAAGCATGACACATTCTTTTTACCAAATGACTGAGAGCAAAATGAAGTTCTGCTGCAATATATTCATTCTCTTCGACAAAAAAAACAGTTCCTTAGCTGTAGTGATGCAAACTTATAAAATAGATTCATAAATATGAAAATCATTTAGCTGTAAAACAATATCTATCATTTGCAATAAAAAGTTTGCCATAGATAAAATAACTTGAAACAGCGACCTTTCATTCATTCTTAAAAGTGATATTGTGAATATTGATATGAAAGGTGATTACGAGTGGAATAGATAAAAAATGAAAACATGAATATTCACAATCGCAGTCATATCCTGACTAAGAGAAATTGTTTAGAGTTGTAAGAAACAGAGAAAGGATCTTGAACTTAATGAGAGTGAAGTTTATCAAGGATCTCAGGACGTATGCAGAAATATGATTGCTTTTTCAATATGCTGCCGATACTAAAGTATCATTATTCCTGAATAGAACAGAACATATGTGGACGCAATTGTTAGTGGAATAGAAAGATGTGTTTGAAGAGTCTTGACAACAGATGTTTATGTTTGAACAAACATGCTTCATTGGATAATTTGTACTCGCACTACATTTCATGTTGAGAATTTTTCTCAATCCAAACTCAAAAAAAGTCATTGTATGTCGATTACTTTTGTCTTCTCATCTTCTCATTCAAAGTATCTTACTTTTCTTCCGTCACAAAATGCGTTACTCCATAACATAATCGTGGGTGTGGTGTGGGTGTGGGTGTGGTGTGGGTTTGAGTACTCAATGCACTGGGACCCACACCCACACCCACACCCACACCCACACCCCCCCACACCCCCCACCCACACCCCCC